GAGGGGGTGGGGGCAGAAAGTGGAAATGAAAGCAGACAACAGAACATTGCTAGAGAGTATGAAAGGAGGTGAAAGGAGACAATTTTAGAGAAGAAAATTTTTTTGGTCGCTACCCGAATTCGAACCCGGGACCTTTGAATGAGAGGCCAACACCTTAACCTCTAGGCCACGAGAGCCCCCAGCTTTACTCTGAGTACACGTTAGCCTTTGTTGGCGTACATAACTTTAACCCTATCCGTACGACCAAGGGTCTTTTTGTACCCCCCGGGGTAGTATTCTATTTTTCACATTTTAGAATACTTCTAGTGTGAAGATCTCTCTGAAATTTCGCAAAAAATCATTTTGACAGACTGGTATGCAAAGCGTACGGATCGGATTAACGAGTAAATTTCTTTTTTAGAAAGTGATGGCACAGAGTTCCCCACGTCGCATGGATACGATAGTAAAAGACGACGTACGAATAGGGTTAAGGGACACAACTTTTTGTACTCTTGGATACTCGTAATTACAGAGTTATCTATTTTGGACATCTTGTCTCTTCAGTCTGCCAAGAATGATTGTCTTGGGCGAGGGAATATTGTGTTTCTTTCTGGTTTTTCTTCAGTTATATTGCTGTGTTAATTAAAAACCACATATTATTATCATTGTGTGTGTGTGTGTGTTTGTGTGTGTGTGTGTGTGTGTGTGTGTGTGTGTGTGTGTGTGTGTGTGTGTGTGTGTGTAGTTGGAAGAGAGAGAGAGAGAGAGAGAGAGAGAGAGAGAGAGAGAGAGAGAAAGAAAGAGAGAGAGAGAGAGAGAGAGAGAGAGAGAGAGAGAGAGAGAGAGAGAGACTCTCCCAAAACACTCTCCCCCCGTTCCCCCCTCAGATCACGGCAGAGCTGATCTACTGGGGTCTACCTCGCATCGACATAGAGCCGTGCTGCTGGAAGGACTACAGGTCGGTTCTGTGCTCATAATTGGTCCCTTTTAAGATCAAGTGGCTATCCCGAAAAATGATGTTTTGAGAAAATCGAAGGTAAAGTTTTTGCCCCTTGTTCAGTTTCTTCAAAAGACAAGGAGAGTGTTCTCAGTTCTCTATAACCGAACAAATATACACACCAATGGAACCAAACTTCTCCTATAGGTAGGGCAATGCCCACTTTTGGTGTAGGTCAAGATTTCTGGAAACCCCCAAAATCTGGGTTAGCCAGCTTGTCCTTAAAAGCGACCAGTTACCCTGCTCCGCTGTTGTAGACAATCCGGCGTCTTTGGAGTGGCGGTTAGACGCTTCGCCATCACACACAACAGTAAGTTTGATTCTCAAGTGGGGAGAATTGGTCGCTTTTAAGGACAAGCGGGCTACCCCAGATTCCGGGGGTTTCCAGAAATCTCGACCAACACCAAAAGTGAACATTGCGCTACCTATAGGAGAGGCTTGGTTTCATTGGTGTGTATACTTGTTTGGTCGTAGAGAAAACTCTCCTTGTTTTTTAAAGAAACTGAACAAGGGGGAAAAACTTTACCTTTGATTTTCTCAAAACAGCATGATTTTTCAGGATAGCCCACTTGTGCTTAAAAGCGACCATAATTACCCTGCTCCGCCGCTGATGTAGACAGTCCGGTGTCATTGGAGTATCGGTTAGACGCTTCGCCGTCACACTCAACAGATTTAAGTTTGATTCTCAAGTGGAGAGAATTTTTATCGAGAATCTCAGCCTTTTGTTCTGGAATGTTGCAACCCCCTCTGCCTTGTTTGGGTCTCGAAGCCGCATCCTTATTGATCTAAATTGTGTCAATGGATGCATCAAAATGTCATCAAAAGGAGCAAACCACACCAGAGCACCCGTTGCTGTATCTTAATGAATTATATTGGTCGCATGTGCTCAAGAAATAATTTGTCAAAAATTCAAAGTCTAAATATTGAAAAAAAAGCAAGAAAGAATATATAATGTAGGTACAATTATTGTTGAAAGAGTATAACAGTTTTTGTTACTTTCTCCTGAAAAAAATTGTATTCTTTGTGTTTAGTATAATATTTTATCAGTATTCCGACGAAATGTTCACCACTTTCCATCATCGATCACTAATAGTAATATCTTGGCCTCTATTCAAGATAGGTACGTACTTTTTCACCGCAAAGCAAACCAAATGAACCATCTTTCAGAATGTTTCAATAACGCCAAATGATAAAACATTGAAGCACGTCTGTGGTAAGGCTACCGGACTCGTAATCGTGAGGTTGCGGGTTCGCGGGTTCGAGCCGCCGGCCCGACGTTGTGTCCTTAGGAAAGGCACTTTACACGAATTTTCCTCACTTCACCCAGGTGGGAATGAGTACCCGGCCATAGGCAGCGAAAGATCTTGTCAGTATGTTAGTGTTTTAGCGCCAATAAAAGGTTGCTTGCACTGTATGCTTCCCAGGAAGTTGAGGTTGTTTCAGGATGCTATCCGGTCTGCTGGAGTAATAGTATAGACTGTGAAGCGCATGGAGCTTGCTGTTGAGCTGGGATTTGCGCTATCTTATCTATCTATCTATCTATCTATCTATCTATCTATCTATCTATCTATCTATCTATCTATCTATCTATCTATCTATCTATCTATCTATCTATCTATCTATCTATCTATCTATCTATCTATCTATCTATCTATCTATCTATCTGTTATTATTATTATTATTATTATTATTATTATTATTATTATTATTCTATCGTGTGATGACACAACAAATGCGTCTGATTCTATCAATCGTGTCACGACCCACCAAACGCTCCTCTCGCCACAGCATCGGCATCCAGTCCCTGGAGAACCTGCGGAAACTGGAGCACGACCGCCAGCCCGCCTACACAAACCCCGCCAATCTGGCGCACCGGCCCAAGCCACAGAACTGGCACCAGAGGCTCAAGATCCGAGTCTGGAACGTCGTGTCCGACCCCTCCTCCTCCAGGGTCGCCAAGGTAGTGTTTGTTATCCGTTGTTGATGTTGTCTCCGTCGTCGTCGTCGTAGTCGTCGTCTTCGTCGTAATCATCATCGTAATCATCATCATCATCATCATCATCATCATCATCATCATCATCATCATCATCATTAATGGAGTTATTTGGACGAGTGGAGATGCCTCTAAGTATAATGACAATGGAGCCGAAAAAGAGCCTCGCTCTCGCTCGAAGATTTCTTCGTGGAGTCCACCAGGCCCATTAAGGAAACAAAAAAAACTATCATCATCATCATCATCGTCATCATTATCATGATCATCATCATCATCATCGTATGGGAATAGAACTCAGAGGTCTTCTTCGTGCGACGAAAAAATGCCTCCTAACTGCTACACCAGACGTTGAAATGTTTATCTAGGTAATCTGTGCAAGAATATAGGGAGGTAGGCCTACAACAAGCACTGTCAACGTATCGTCCACGGCTCCCCTCAATAACAACAACAACAACAACAACAACAACAGCAGCAACAACAACAACAACAGCAAAAACAACCACAACAGCAAAAACAAAAGGCCAACCGATATCCCACACGCGGACGAAGGAAATATACAAGGCAATTTCCTTAAAACGAGAGGCTCAAATTAAGTCCCGCAATGACCAGTCACTATTGGCAGAAATCAGGACCGGTCACTTCTCTGGTCTGCGGTCCTACAAAAATAGAATAGACAAAACATCGGAGCCAATATGTCCATTGTGCAACGAGGAGCCCCAAAATTTGGAGCACTGGCTGCAGAGATGCCCCGCCACGGAGGTCCGGCGGTGGCATCTCTTTGGGGAGGATTTTGGGAGGTTGGACTGCCTCACCCGCTACCCAAGAGAGGCGGTGGCCCTGGCGAAGAGCACGCTCTTCGGGGCTCCAAACATTTCGAACGGATAGGCTACCAAACGCATACACACACACAACAACAACAACAACAACAACAACAACAACAACAACAACAACAACAGCAACAACAACAACAACAACAGCAGCAGCAGCAGCCCACATGTCCCAGAAACGATAGGACTGGGTTTTTTGGTTGCTTTTTTTTTTTGGAAAGAAAATCAATTTCCTTGAGAAAACTAGGGACAACGCGAAGTGGTACGGTACTTGGTTCTATCCTTGGGTGGTATGCTCCATCTTCTAACTCTTTAAAACCACATCGGACGCTGGCACCGTCCGGTACAAGTGAAAACTACTTTGCTTTATTTAGTACTAGTTTTTGCTAGTTTTTCGGAATTATTCCAGAACCAAGTATTTTAGTAATTACTAAGCCTTTGTTTCCGCCATTTAGAAGTTGGAGGAGAGCTTTTGTGGTTATAATGAGACATAGTTTAGGTGACTGTAGAAAAACATTTCCGGGAGACGGTGAAAAAACTCATTGTTTAAAGAGCTAATCAGCGCTACAATGGTCCTCATCGGTTCTTGGGGCAGTGCGGTCGTTAACGTGCTGGCTCGTAGATAGTATTGTTCGAAGCAGCAACATTTCTGTGTCAGTCTACCCACACTGTCGCTTTATTTTATGCGAGTACACGTACATGTATTTTGATATTTTTCTTTTCGGAAATCGGAACGCTTTGGAAATTCACAGACAGAAATAGAGTTATAAGCTGTACTAAGTGTCTTAACCCTATCCATACGTCGTATTTTACTATCGTATCCATACGGCGTGGGGAACTCTGTGCCACCACTTTCCAAAGAGGAAATTTACTCGTTAATCCGAACCGTGCGCTTTGCATAGCAGTCTGCCAAAACAATTTTTTGCGAAATACTGAAAGTTTCAAAGAGATCTTCGTACTAGAAGTATTCTGAAATGTGAAGAATACAACCCCAGGGGTACAAAATGACCACAGGGCGTACGGATTGGGTAATCAGATGATCGACAGATAATACATGTTCCTCTCACAGTACTGAGATTATAATACAACAAGGGCCGTCGAAGGAGGTTTTTTTAAATACGTTATTGGCCTTTCTGTCCACCCACCAGTCTCTCTGTCTACACCGTGTACACTTCTATTACTCTTCTCGGGGCCCATGATTTTTATACATTTATTTTTTAAAGTGTTTATCAAGGTGTTTAATTTATTCAGGGAAATGAAATCAGGAGAGAAAACAAAAAATAACACCCCCTCCCCTTTCTAGAAAAATAACCCAACGAAGCAAAACAAGGAAAACAAATGAGTGTGCATTATTATAATCATAATTTCGTTTCAAAAGGCTGTACGAAGCAACCACCAGAACCACGTTGAAAGTCTGTAGTGGAAAAGTGAAACGATTGTGTTCCTACGACCAGATGATAGGAGCTTTATAACATTATTAGGAACAATGTTTACGCAGATACTATTCGTGTTTTGCAAATGCTGTTAAAGTTTGTGAGTGTGGTCGGAGGGCGCTCTGATGTTGTTTGCTCCTTCTTTCCTATCAAACATTCATCGTCCTTATCTCTCCTCCTTCTTTTTTGTGTTTGCTAATCCCTTTTAACACCTCTAAGTTTTGGCACCTTATTGTGTTGCAAGTGCCGTGAAACTCTTACGAAAACATTGGTTATAGTTTTATCACTTGCAACACAATAAGATGCCTCAGATTAGAGGTGTTACAAGGGTCTAACAAACACATAGAATGAGGAGGAGAGGCAAGGACGATAGATGTTTGATAGGAAAGAAGGAGCAAACCACAACAGAGCACCTAAAAAATAATAATAATGGATTGCATTTATATAGCGCATATCCACTTATACAATGCTCTATGCGCTTAACATGATACATATAATGGATTTACAAATCAATTTTAAAGGTACATAGTGTTACATACTCATGCAAACACATATTCACTCACGCACGCACCACACACACATACATACTCACATACACACATACGTACATATGCACATACGCACATACAAACTCCCAACGATCTACAGCTTGGATGGATTCTGTCTAATCGAAATATGATGAAAATAGAAATGATTTTAGTTTCTTCTTAAACATTTCTAGATTTTCTGCTTCTCTGATAGTTTTTGGAAGCCTATTCCAAACAAGTGGGGCAAAATATGAAAAAGAGCGTTGGCCATATGATTTGTAATTTATTTTAGGCTTAACAAGGTAGCGTTGTTTTGTCACTTGATGATCTGAGCGTTCTAGGAGGCACATAGGGTGTTAAAAGCTGTTTTAGATAGTCCGGTGATAAATCATTTAAGCAAAAAAAAAGATGACCTAAAGAAAACCGTTTCTGTGCAGGTGGTATGTGTGTTACACGTGTCGCTTAAGATTTACTTACTAAAAGGAAAAGGTTCCCGGAGTCCTGTACTTAACCTGCCTTCCCTGTGTCTATGTGTGTGTGTTTTGTGTGGCCTATTTCAGTACTACTTCTTGTTTTCCATGGGAACCACCGTGCTCAGCATCCTGCTGTTCTGCCTCAGCACCTTGCCCCGAATCCGGCTCCTTGCCGACACAGCCGACGACCAGCTGGACCGGAACCAGCGCCTGTTCATGAACTTCCTGTTCACACTGGACACCGCCTCGGTCCTCTACTTCCTCGTGGATTTCCTCCTCCACCTGACCTGTTGCCCGACCCGCCGCCTCTACCTCGTCTCCTTCGACTCGCTCATCGACATCGTGCCCCTCCTGCCCGACCTCATCAGCTTCGGGATGGAGGTGTACATCCGGCTCATGTCGGCCAGCGCGTACCATCAGGCGTCCGACTACTCTTTCACCTTCTTCCGCTCGCTGCGCGCGTTCCGCGTGTTTCGGCTGTTCCGGCGCGTGAAGCCTCTGTGGATCATCGTGTACACCATGCGGGCCAGCGCCAAGGACATTGGCATCATGCTGGTCATGCTCTACATCACCGTGGTCGTGTTTAGTGGCGTCATCTTCCACCTGGAGGACCACATCACCTTCTCCAGCATCCCGCGCAGTTTCTGGTGGAGCATCATCACCATGACGACGGTGGGCTACGGGGACATGATGCCCACCACGCTGCTGGGCCGCCTGTGGGGCTCACTGGCCGCCTTCGTGGGCCTGCTGGTGCTGGGGCTCACCATCCCGACCCTGTCGCAAAACTTCACGGACGTCACGCAGAACGTCACACTCATCCTCGACCGTCACGTTGGGGTGACGGACGCCGGCATGACGCGGGTCCGAGCGGCCGCCGGCGGTTACAGCGTCAGGGACGGCTCCAGTGTTCTCAAACTCAGGTCCACGAAGAACAAGGAGCAGCAGCAGGAACAGCAGCAGGAACAGCAGCAGGAACAGCAGCAAGAAAAACAATAACTGCATGAAATAAGCAGCACTTACAGCTGGAGACAGCGGGAGTAGAGGCAGGAGAAACGAAGGAAAGGACAACTGCAGGCAAAACAGGAGTTACTGTTCTGCAGGAGCTGTAAGGGAGGCTGCAGTTGTTGTATTAGAGGGACGGACAGCCCGCAGCCACAGTAAGATTGGTAGGGTGTAGAAGCAATGGGAGTGAGTGAAGCACAGGTAGAGGCTAGGGCATGAGTGAGAGAAGAGAAGCAGAAGTGGAGGCCAGAGCATGAGAGAGAGAGGAGAAACAGGAGTAGAGGCCAGAGCATGAGTGAGAGAGGAGAAACAGGAGTAGAGGCTAGAGCATGAGTGAGAGAGGAGAAACTGGAGTAGAGGCTAGAGCATGAGTGACAAAAGAGAAGTAGAGGCCAGAGCAGGAGAAGCTGTAGCATCAGAGACAACAGGCGAGCAGAGAGTGGCCTTGTGACACGATGGGATTACACCGTCCTGAAAGGCTGTCAGGTCCTCTCTGAAAGGACGCTATCGCGTATGAGTGGAAAACAGAATGTTGTGGTCATGAATGACGACAGAGACAAAACGATAATGGTCTTTCAGTGAGTGGTTAGCGGTTCGTAGGTATATCGGAAGATAGGCAACTGTGCAGATAAACCTAGTGCAGCATCATCAAACCTGGTTGTATGCGCGTGTACAGAGATAGGCACACCATGATACAATCTGCTACGTGGGTTCTACTCTCCATAGTTGTCTCAGAGTCTCTCTGTACTTTAAACTGGGCGCTCATATGACCTTAGCAGTTGCGAGCGCCGTAAAACCTTATACTATACTATACTATACTATACTATACTATACTATACTATACTATACTATACTATACTATACTATACTATACTATACTATACTATACTATACTATACTATACTATACTATACTATACTATACTATACTATACTTTAAACTGGCAGTGGGAGGGGAGGGGGTTGTGGGCGCCTCATCCATTACGTTTCCGTGCTTCTGTTGTGGGGGAGGGGGGAATGTAACTTACTCTGGCGACACACAGCACATTGCAAATCAGCTTAAAAAACCCCCAAAGCATCACATTTCATCCCCTCTCCTGCTCCCCCCCCCCCACCTTTATTTCGTCCCCAACATGGGGGTGGTTGGCGAGTGCTCTGGTGTGGTTTGCTCTTTCTTTCCTGTCAAACATCTGTTGTCCTGATCTCTCCTTTTTGTGTTTGTTACTCTCTTGTAACACCCCTAATCTTCGGCACTTATATGACCTTATTGTGTTGCAAGTGCCGTAAAACTCTTACCCAAAGAACCCCAACAACCTGTTATCCCCCCGGCGACCAGATGTACAGCCTCATTTCCATGCTACTGTGGCGACACACAGCACAGTACAAATCAGCTCAGCTTAAAAAAAACCCCAAACCCAACACATTTCATCCCCTCTCCTGCTCCCTCCCCCCCTCCTCTCTTTCGTCCCCAACCTGTTATCCCCCCCCCCCCGGGCGGCCAGATGTACAGTTTCATCTCCATGCTCCTGGTCATGGTGAGCATCATCTCGTTCACGCTGCGCTCACTCCCGTCCGTGTCCGGCAGAGTCGGCGACTGGAGCTACACCGAGGCGAGCCTTCGCGAGCTGCACTCCTCGCACTTCAGCAGGACGCTCACCTACCTGTACGTGGTGGACTTTTTCTGCCTCTCCTTCTTCGTCCTCGAGCTGAGCACCATCCTGCTGAGCTGCCCGGACCCCAACCGGCTGCTTCGGTCGGCGCAGGGCGTGATCGAGGTGACGGCCGTGGTGCCCGATATGTTCAACCTGCTGCTGTTGCTGCTGAGTCTCCGCGAAGACGAGGCGACGGTGGTGAGCGACGTGCGGATCGGCCAGAGCTTCCTGGTGTGCCGCACGCTGCGTCTGTTCAGGTTATTCCGTCTGGTGCGTCGCGTGCCCACGCTCATGATCATCGTGTACTCGATGTGGGCCAGCATGAAGGATCTCGTCTCCGTGCTCCTCGTCGTCATCATCGCCTCCATCTTCTTCTCCTCGCTCATGTACTACCTGGACGACCGCGCCGTCTTCAAGAGCATCCCGCACGGCTGCTGGTGGGGCATCGTCACCATGACGACGGTGGGCTACGGCGACATGGTGCCCCAGACGGGCTACGGGAAGGTGGTGGGCGCCTGCTGCGCCGTGTCCGGAGTGCTGGTGCTGGGGATCAGCGCGCCCACCCTGGTCCACAACTTTGTCTCCTACCTCTACCTGTTCCGCTTCATGGCCGAGCGGGAGGCGCTCTTCATTCGGAAGATGAGGGAGAGGGACGAGCAGAAGGGGCAGACTCTCCTCTTCATCGACAAGTGAGGAGAAGAAATGAAAGCAGCCCCTTTGTTATAGTCAAATGTGTCACAACGTGGTGGAATCAGGCGCTTGTCAATTTTTGGGCGCGTGGAGTTATCGGTATCATCTTAAAGCATGTCCATTTTTCTTTATTTAGATGAAAAAATATGCATTTGTCTTGAACACAAGTCGAAATATTTGCGATTGAAGGAGGTGGGGGTCACCTGGTTTCAGAGGTAGGGTAAAGTTAGGGAGAAAAACTTTAATCAACGTTTTTCAGTAAAATCCACATAGATGTATTCTGTGTTCTATAATGCTCATGAAAAGTGTTGAGCTAAAAAACAACAATTCAATAAGAATTGCCACACTTGCGGGAAAATGCTAGTTTTTCCCCATTCATTATTTTGACGAGCGCCTGTTTTCACCACTCTGCCTCACATGAAGGTCAAAGAGGGAAAGGTGACCGTGTGCAATGATTGTAGCAAGACTGGTGTTTCGCCCTTCAATATATGCCAACAATGCGTATAGAGTTCTATAGCTGATACCATCTAAACGTTGGTTGATTGCATTAAGGTCATTTGTTAATGATTAATTATTGTTCCATTATTTTATTAGTATGTCACTTCGTGTTGTTTGCCTGGCTGTTTTATTGTTTCAAAGTGATTTGTCGAGTTTGTATCTTGAGAATTGATTGTTCTCTTAAAGAAATTAGCAGCATTAATGTTGGTTTTAAAGCAACCTTTAATTGCTCATAGTAAGAAGATGTTCTTGAAATAAACTCTACCCTTTTGGAAACGTTCCTACGTCTTTCACCGTTGTCTTTTGTTTTGTCAGATGAACTGGTTACTTTCTCCCTTCTCTAACTCATGTGGATATCTTCGTCTCTTTAAACTTTGTTCAAGTTGTTTCTGAAGAAGACGACCCGTGGGTGGTTGGCGGATGCTCTGGTGGGGGTTGCTTCTTTTTTTCCTATCAAACATCTATCGTCTTTATCTCCGCTCCTTCTTTTGTATATTTGTTACTCTCTTGTAACAGCTATAATCTTCTGGCGCTCGTATGACCGTATGCAGTTGCGAGCGCCGTAAAACTTCTACTAAAACTAAACTTCTTTCTTGTGTATGTTACTCTTTTGTAGCACCTCTAATCTTCGGCACTTATAATATATGACCCTATTGTATTGCAAGTGCCGTAAAACTCTTATAAAAAAAAGAAAAAAAGAAGACGACTCGGGCAGAGAGAGAGAGAGAGAGAGAGAGAGAGAGAGAGAGAGAGAGAGAGAGAGAGAGAGAGAGAGAGAGAGAGAGAGAGAGAGAGAGAGAGAGAGAGAGAGAGAAGAGGGGGGGGGGGGATACAACGTCCTAACATCCGAGACACTCAATAAACATTCTCTCTACGCGGGAATCGAGCTCAGGTCTCCTGCGAGAGAGGGCGAAGCGCCTAATCGCTAAACCATAGGTGATTGGCGGGTGCTCTGGGGTGGTTTGCTTTCTTTCCTGTCAAACATCTATCGTCTTTATCTCCCCTCCTTCTTTTTTCTGTTTGTTACTCTCTTGTAACACTTCTAATCTCCGGCACTTATGTGACCTTATTGTGTTGCAAGTGCTATAAAACCCTGACTAAAACAAACAAAACAATAGACGCCGGTGGGGGAGGAGGAAGGATCATCTCTCTATTTGGTTGCCTTTGGTTTCTTCCGAGTGTTGTGTATTAATGCGTTCTGTGCTGCGTTTTTCGGTTTTGTTTTGAGGTCGATCTCAGCTTCGCCCTTTCTTTTTGTAGGTGGTTGGCAGGTGTTCTGGTTTGGTTTACTCCTTCTTTACTCTCAGACATCTATCGTGCTTTAATTATCTGTCGTGGGTGGTTAGCGGGTGCTCTGGTGTGGTTTGGTTCTTCTTTCCTATCAAACATCTATCGTCCTTATCTCCCCTTCTTCTTTTTTATGTTTGTTACTCTCTTGTGACACCTCTAATCCTCTGGCGCTCATATGACCTCATGCTGTTGCGAGCGCGTAAAACCTCTACTAAAACTAAACTAATTATCTGTCTTCATTCTTATCTTTTAATGTAATTCTCTAATGACAATTCGAATCTTAGGCATTTGTATGACCAATTTGTGTTGTAAGTGCCGTGAAACTCGTACTAAAACTGAACCCTTCCTTTGGCTAAAAATTTAAAAATTGTAGTGTGGTCTGTTCCCTGGTTCTGTCACTGTCGAAGTGAATCTATGTTATCCTCATCATGTTGTTTTCTTTTTAAAACAATGAGCAACGATAAAATTGCGATAGTTCATACATTTTTGCCTTCTTTTTTTCAACTGCTCTTTCCAAGATGTACGTGATTGATTGAACAGGTTTTAGCCCCCATAAACTCATTTGAGGCAGGTGATCTAGGATGTGGGCGGCTCTGACCCTGTCGGTCACCGTCAAGAAAAAGAACAGAATTTAAGTCTGAGGCAGTATCTATCCCGTCTGTCAGACCGCGCTCTCCTTTTTAAGATTAAATTTAAAACAAAGCAAAACCAAAATGATAATAATAATAATAATAATAATAATAAAACAAAAACACAAAGACCCCCCCCCCGAAACCCCCCCTCCAACAACAACAACAACAACAACAAAAACAACAACGACAACAACAACAACATCAACCAAAATCAAGTGGCAAAAACATAAACTGTTTTTCATCGGCATCTGTGTCCTAATGTTGAACCTCTTTACCTCGTCGTACTAGAAGTGGGTGTAATAATATTTTCTGGGACGTCCCCGTCTCTCTGCTGAGGTGTAGCGTCCCACAAGCGGATAATTATAGAACGTCAGATGTACGTCATTGGCTGATATTTATAGTAATATAGCCATCTTGTTTATCGTCATTGAGGGATTCCCACTTTGTTGTCATGGTGGCAACACGACCGCACGATGGCAGCCGAACCGGGCAGTAGGCCTACTCTTTG